CTGATGGTTGAAGAATAAGATCGATTTATATAATCTATTAATTTCAACCTTGACTCGATATTTTGAATAGCCTTCAAGGAAGCACAAGTAATGCATTTGTATAAAAAATTTCTATAGTTAATAATATACTTGTATTAAACTATTAAAGGATACTCATGTGCTCGAATAACATCCACGCACAACTAAATTAGATTTTTTTTTCCCTTTCACGGAAAGGAGAAGGATTCAGACCACATCTCAACTCTTACGCTTTTATGATCTAATGTATGTGGTCAGAAACTTAAAAATGAGGGGGAACCGGGGAAGGATAAACGATTTTCAATTCCTCATCCCGAAGTATCGCAACTTGGAGGATATGACTTTGAAACCTCAACATTACAATGTGAATGACTCATCTATCACACCAAGTCTTGCAATTTACGGTGAAGACGATGAGACCAAAATCCAGTGAAATATAATTACGTATATAAGTTTGAATCCGTCAAAGAAAACTACGATGCGACAAAGATTCGTTGGTAAAGTAATCGGTAGTTCCGAGATATATACTACCTCCATAAACGGTTATCTGCAACAATGGTACCGTTCACGAAGGCCTAGGCAAAACTTTTAGTGGGTTGTTTAAAGTGGGTTATGCTTAAAGTATAAAGTGATTAAAAGTGTAGGAAGGGGTCCCGGTTTTTTTAAAAGAGGAGAGAGAGGCTGCCAATTTTTGGGGCCAAATTTTCCCCCAAAAAAATTTTGTGCCAACTTTTAAAAAATTTCAAAATTCACCCAGATTTTTTCCCTCTTACCTGAATTTGCTGGCTAATAAAACAGGGGTATATAACCCACCAGCCAGACATTGTTACTTAGTACAAGCATTCATAACAAACATTTCAAATGTTTTTCCAAATAACAACATTCATTGTTCACAAAAGTTAGCACTTCATTTTCTACCTAAACCTAATTACTCCTACGTCATTAGCACTGGATTAGCAGCAAATCAGCACAGCGCTTCAAAATCGGCCCACTTCATAAGCAGTCCTGCATCCTGGGAACTCAGATAAATTAGCATAGGCAACATGGCAGAAAATTCAACTGATGAATTTTTCAGCATTCACCACATACTCAATGATGAGAGCAACATGGAACATAGTCAGACAAGCAGCATGGAAGGGGCTCAGTACCAGGACAACACTGGTCCAGATGATGAAGCAACCCAGCAACCAACAAGCAGAAAACAGCTCACAGTTTCCAAGAAAAGGGAAATTGTAGATGAGTATCTACTGAAGCTACAGGGGGGGAAATACCAAGGGGTTTTGTATCACAGACAGCCAGGAAATTCAATGTGCACAGGTCCACTATTCTTAGACTATTCAAAGACATCAAAGCCCAAGTGGAAGTGGGGAATGTCATAGATGTCAGAAGCAAGAAACTTGGCAAAACAGGACCAAAACCAACAGAATACACAGATGAATTTCTGCAGTCTGCCCCACTATATAAAAGGGTCACTGAGAGAAGCTATGGGGCTGCTCTTAACATTTCACATACAACCATCCACAAATTAAAAAAAAAAAAAAAAGGCAGGCTGAGAACACATACTAGCACCAATCATCCAGCATTATCATCCAACCACAAAATAGCAAGACTCAAATGGGTTTTAAGGCATCTGTTGCCTGCTACTCAAAATGAGGACCCATATTTTGTTGACATGCAGCAGGTAGTGCACATAGATGAGAAGTGGTTCTTCTTGAACCCAGATACAAGAACATTCTATCTATTGCCTAATGAACCAAACCCCTACAGGTGCCAACAGTCCAGGAGGTTCAAGATCAAAGGGATGTTCATGGCAGCCATAGGGAAGCCAATCTTTGACAACCATGGAGGACTGAAACATGATGGGAAATATGGAATTTTCCCTTTTGTTTATGAGAGCACAACAAAGAAAAAAAGCAAAAACAGAGAAGCAGGGGTAGTGGAAGTGAAGGCTACACAGAATGTTAACAAGGAAGCCATAAGGGAAATGCTTTTAACTAAAGTAATTCCTGCCATTAAAAGCAAATGGCCAGACCATCTATCTAAGGATGTATGGATTCAGTGGGATAATGCCAGACCACACCAAATTCCTAGGGATGATGAATTTCAAGAAGCATGTCAATCAAATGGTTTCAACATACAATTCATTTATCAACCAGCTCAATCCCCTGATTTGAATGTCTTAGATTTAGGGTTGTTTAATGTGATACAATCAATTCAATACCAATCATTTCCTAGAAATCTAAAGGAACTCATAGAGAAGGTAACAGAGGCTTATGAGTTGTTCAACCCAGTGTTGAACAAACGTTGTTGGATAACTTTACAATGCTGTATGGAAGAGATACTGAAGGACCAAGGGGGGAATAATTTCAGCCCCCCACACAAAGGGAAGAAAAGACTGGAAAGACTGGGCATGCTACCTGAAGTGCTACAAGTGGACAGGGGTTTGGTTCAACAAATTGTTGAATACCTCAACACCATTTTCATTCCAGCAGGTGAAGTGAATCAGGAAGATGAAGCCATGCAGGTGGATGCAGACTAAACACAAGTGAATCAAAGTAGCAAGGACCAAGTCAGACTGCCACACATAACCATTGAATGCAAGGTAGTTTATTTTGATTTTTGTATGGGACTCTATGGTTAGGTGTATTTTTTTATCAAAAACAAGTTTATTGTGAATGTAGGGCAATCAAGACTACTATCCTTTTAAGATGTAAAAGCTTTTGATAAATTTTATAACTTCATTTGTGTCTTGTTTACTTCAATTCTATGATGCACACACACACAACTTAGTCTATCAGAGGGTTATGATATTTCACAGAAATTGCATAGTGGTTACCTCAACAACAACTTACAATGGAAGTTGTTGGAGCAATACCAACTTATGAATTTTATGCATCAAATGAGTCCCTTCATCATTTAGATCTCTCAAACACACAAACAATATCTTGGGACTCCAAATACATATGGGCACAGGCAGCTCACAGGGGGACTCAGCAGAAGAATCATCACCCACATAGCAACAACACCATGCCCATCATAACAGAAAACAGTGTACACACAAACCAGGGGACACACAATTTGGCAGAACACATAAATTATACTCATTGGCATGATCAACACCATTACCCAGAAATCAACAACACCAACACACACATAGCAGAAATCAGGGTTAATCAACATGTCCCCAGAAACAGCCAACAACCATATCCCAACAACCATAGCATTCAAGTTCACAACAAACCAGGGTAAAACAACATAACACAAACCAGGGTAAAACAAAAAAACAAAAAAAAAATTGATTGAAGGGATAGAACATTGTTACGCTGTTGAATTATGCACAGGCTTAGGTGGAAGGGTTGCTAACCCCACCCATCTCAGCAGCACCATCATCAGGGGACTCTGCACGCTCCCTTTTTCGGCCAGACAAGATCTGGGTAGATCTACCCACAACAACCACCTCTGATGTGGTTTTCTCTAGCGGCAGGGCAGCAGAAGGGGTTTTAGAACCATCGCCCTTCACAACATCAAGATCAGGAGCCTCTTTGCTCAAAACCTCACCCTTTTTGCCCAGATCTGAAGCATTAGACCCAACACGTTCATCATCAGACTCGTATGGGGTTAGCTTTGAACCCCCACGATTGTTACGCTTCAGATCCAGGTACATAGCCGTACGCGTACCAATTAGCCTCATCTTCCCAGTTCGTCGCTGACATTTGTAGGTCGCAATAACATCCTGATCTTGTTTTCTGTCGTTTGGGGGACTCATGATTTTAGGGTTTTGACAGACAGATGTAGATGAGCACAAAGATCTGGAAATTTTAGGGTTTCAACCAACGGAGGGAAAGAGGGAATCAGGATAAGAGAGAGAATGAGGGTCGCTTGAACGAAACGACACCAGATGCAAAGTGAAGCCTTCCAGAACATTTTCCAGAAGTTAGAGAGCGTCATTAATGGAGGTTGTTGAAGCTTCATTGAAGAGGGTAGGTGGCGAGATGAATTGAATCTGATGGGAAATGAGGTGAGTGAGGGGATTTTGGTGGGAATCATTAGGGTAGATTGATTGTTTATAGGGATAAGTAATAAGATTAGGAAAGTAGGTTAAGTTTTAATCAGTGTTTTTAAAGGGCATTTTCGTAATTTCAGATGTTAAAATTTAACCAAAAATGGAAAAATATCAGTTTGTTGCACATAATATGAAGCACCTACTTTTGGTAAATGTTGCAGATAACCGTTTACGGAGGTAGTATGTAGGGTATATATACTCTTATAAATAAATGAAGATGATTCATTGATATATACACTATCTTTATCAGAAACATCATAATAGCTTTCTTTAATTTACTTGCTTTTTCGGATGTCTACAGTTTTTTACCGTTTAAAAATAAATAAATAAATATTGTCTTAAAGGTTACATCTAAAAAATTACTCCGTAAGAATAAGGTCTTGTTCACTTCACCCTAAAAAAATAATATTAAGTAAAAATACTTTCAATTCAGCAAAAGTAAGTTCAGTTCAGTAAAAATAATTTCAGTTCAGTAAAAATCATTAATTTTAAAGAAGAAATATAACAGAGAATTGGTAAAATAATTTCAATTCAGTAAAATTAATTTAAGCAAAATAATTTCAGTTCAGTAAAATTAATTTAAGCAAAAATATTTTAAGTTCAGTAAAAATAAGGTGAAGTGAACGGGACCTAAATAAGATTTCACCTTCGAACACTTAAATATTAATGTTGGTTATCACTACAAACAGTTAGGATGAAAGTTATGATAAATCTTGTAAAAAAAAAAAAAAGAGTTATGATTAATTATCAATTGTTGTTATTATAAAAAAAATTGAGTCGTTTGAAATACAACTATTATATTATTTTTATAATAAATAATATGAGCCATTCATTTTTTCAGACTATAAATTGGACATAATTAGTATTCTAATATTTACAATGCAAATATAATTTTTGTAAATTTTAATCCAACATAAAATAAATATTTTTCGAGAAACTATAAAATAAGAATAAAAATTACATAAATGAAACTAAAAATTTGATAAATTAAAAGAATGTTGGTGATAACATTTTATAGAAAAAATAAAGTATAGTTAATTACTTGGAGAAAAATACGTCAATTATAAACTATATAATCATTAAAATATTATGGTAGTCATATTTCAAACGACCACTATAGAATTAAAAAAAAAAAAAAAAAGGACTATACCAAAATTGGAAGTGTTCAACAAATAAAATATGTAACCAAACTTGGTAAAGTTTGTTTTATATTCTACGTTAAGTCGTGGATGATCAAATAACTAGTTGGTTAAAATCTGTAAAAATGATACCACTTGGGATAAAATTTTGTTTACATCCTTTGCTATTGTTACACCTTGAGACTTTTAATTGATAGATGTAAATAGGTTTCTGGGAGCAAGCTATCTTTTTCATGAGTTTAATAAACATGTCTGGCGGGGACCAACACTACAAGGGCATGGTTGTTCGAGGTTCTTTGGCCTTATGATCCTGCGCCGCGCCACGATCGTTGTCGAAGTCGTAGCAATGGAGGTGATGATGAGGCCAGGGGAAGAAGACTAAGCAAATTTTGTTCTGAATTGAATGGTGGGAGAGGCAAGCCTTGCCTGTGCTGTCTGTTGTCACTTCCATGGGTTAAGAAGAAACTAAGCTTCATTGTCACAAACTCAAAATACCCATAAGTTAAAATGTTATTTCATGAGTTTTAAACCCCTTTTGCTTTTAGGGACAATTTAATTATGGGTTTATACAAGATGCTTGGCACTTCAAGTTGGTGGTGAGTTTTGAGTTCGACATATTTTCTCCGTTTTCAATTATTTACAACCCATTATTTTGGCATATATTTTAAGGGAGATATTAAATTAGGTAAAAGGACAAATTAATTGATTTGATAAAATTTGACCATATATAAGAAGAAAACGATAAGTTACTACGGTTTAAATTTTATAACTTTATTCGTTTATTTACGTAAAAGTCTAATCATTTCAATAAATACCATGCCAAAAAATGTGTTAAAAATATAAGAAAACAGAGAAAATACAATATTATTGAAAATTGATAATAGCCGAACAAATTCAAATATGTATCACATTTTGAATGACAGGTTCTATATCTTTATTCGTTAAGATACTTGTAGGACATTTTTAAAAGACACTTGATGATATCTTTGTAATTACAGTCAACACATGTTTTTTTTTTTTTTTTTTAGTAATATGCTAAAGGTAGTAAAAATTGGTGGGAAAAGAAAATGCATGAACAATCTTTATCAATCCTAAAATTATTGATACAATATTGTTCTATATGTAACCAAGATAGTTTTGATATTTTTCTTATTATATACGGAAGTATGTACCGAAGAATAACACATACGGAGTAACATCATTGTAAAAGTACAATGATAATCCATAATAATTAATAAGAAAAGTTTATAGATAGTGATTTGAACAAATACTGAGTAAAAACATAAAGTACATAAACATCATTTTAAATAACACATAAATACTTCATAACATTTTAATTAAAAGAAATGCTATATATTACAGTACATTATAGTAGCACATAGCATTGTAACATAATAAAAGTATAATAGAGTAATAAACTGTCATTTTACCCGATTGTACGTAGATCTACGTATAATGAAATTTAACTTCTGCGAGTTCTACCGATTACTCCGTAATATCTAATTCTATGCAATCCAAATTGGGATGGAGATTCAGCTGTCCCACATCAAAGGACCTACTAGCTAAACATGCTTACTAAATCTTGATTGGCCTGGTTGACTCGTGAAATGTGAGACATGAGTGTGATATACGAGTACTTCGTAATGTATGATATAAGTAGGTCATTTAATAACTTACCTACCCAAAAACAGTTTCATAAGTTTTTCAGGACTTATTAATTTCTTGTTATGTACAAGTGCATATTTACCTATTCATGTTCAGATACGAAGAAATATTACGAGAAAGCATATCTATGTTAAGTAGAAATGTAGAATAACTTTAAGTTGATGAAAGTAAAGATCACTAATCAAAGTTTTTTTGTTTCTTTTTTTTTTTTGCCTTTGGGCTTGCTCCTAGCTTGAATTTGTTGGCCTTGGTCATCTGCTTGTTTAGTGCTTCCTAGCTATTTTGGATGGGAAATAATTATTTTTATCTTCGCATAATGAGAAAATAAGGTATATTAAATTCGATCTCAAAAATATTCTTTAAGTAATTAACTAATTAACTACATTAACTATCATCCTTCTATCATTCGTGATCATGAGGAAGCTAGACCAGAAATCTAAATTTTGTCAAAGATTGTACTTCATATTACGTAGTGTGTACATTGTACTTGAAAAAAAAAAAAAAAGTCTTGTGTACGTAGTGTGTTTATTTATGTCTATTATGGAGTAATAATTATTTTTAGTAAAGACTCATTGATTGTGCACTTAATTACATAGCCATGACAATTAATTATTGCTCATTAAGAATTGATGAACTAACTATTTGACTTGGAGTATTCTTTTCTGAAGGAGATAAAGGGTATAGGTTTGTACAGGCAAATTGAATTAATTTCCCCTGTTTCTTGAATACCTTTACCCTTATAACCTTGTTAATCCCAATGAAGGAGATTTTTTTTTTTTTTTTTTTTAAATAAAAGAGAAGTAATTGCTTAGGTAAAAATGAGAGATATTGAAAGGAAAAAAGTTTTTATAATGGTCTATTTCACTTTTTCTTTTCTTATGCCTTAATTCTTTTGCTCAATCCTCCTCCTCCCTTTTTCCTTAACCTAATTGATTTCCATTGACATTCTACTCCTATATTGCTCGTCATATATCCATTTATTTCGAGAAAAAAGTGTAATTATGTTTATAAAAGATTTATTAGGCCGATAAATTTAGAAAAGTAAGTTTAATTAGCTAATTTAAAGTTAGGGAAAAATAAGGCAAGTCAAGTTTAATCTATAGCTAAAATAAGTTCCAATGAGCGAGTATTGATAATGATTATCATTTGTGTTCAAATAAGACTTGATAAGTTTAATTAAGTGAAAATTAAGTGGATAAAATGAAACATATTACTACTTTTTTTGTTCTTTTGATATTGTGCAGAAAGTCAAACATTATTATAGTAGATTTATAACAACCTAAGTACAATGACCCGACAAATTTTGACTTTTTTTTATCATGGAATTAATAACCTTTCATGAAATTAATAACCTTAAATTTTAGATATATATGAATTATTTATATATGGAGTATATGGTGTATGTAGCATCACACAACGTATACTTTTTCTTATGTTAATGATTCATTGACTATTAGAAATAAAGTTCGAACAACTCACATAATAATTATGAAATAATGGTTAACCAACTGTTTGACGATGATTAAATGCATGGTTTTGCATGCATAAATCCTCCTCCATCCATTGCCCTCAAATAACCCTAATCCAAATTCCACTCACTCAAACAATTTTGATCTCTTGCAATGGAGGATCACCAACTCACTACCAAGAAAAACACCCTAATTTCTACCTTCTTTGATGAAAAAATTACAGAAGATCAATCATCCAACCTTCCACACTTATCCATTCAACCTTCACCAACCCCAGCCTCGGCCTCGGCCTCTTATCCTTTTCTTCTCTATTGTTGCATATCCTCGCTTTGCCATGATGATGGTGCCATCAACTCTATTGCTGTATCCGGAAACCTAGTATTAACTGGGTCGAGCACCACCCGCATCCATGCATGGCAGTCACTCGACTGTCATGCAAAAGGCTACATAAAAACTACATCGGGTGATGTCCGAGCCATGGTGTCTCATGGTGACTTGCTATTCACTTCACATAAAGATCACAAAGTGAGGATGTGGAATATGAAAAATCCTAGAGGTGATTTTGAGCCTAGAAAAGTCACAACCCTACCTAATAATATAACTGGCCATTTCAAGAACTACCCCTTTCGTAAGCATGCAATTGCCTTACAACATAAGGACACTATCTCTTGCATGGCCTTTAACCATGTTGAAGGACTACTATACACTGGCTCATTTGATAGAACTATAAAAGTTTGGAAGTTAAATGAGAAAAAATGTGTTGACTCTATTATAGCTCATAGAGGAAACATCAATGATATGGTAATCAACCAACAAAATGGGTATCTTTTCACTTGCTCTTCGGATGGAACAGTCAAAATGTGGTTAAGGGCTTATGGGGAGACATTGCATACCCTCATCAAGGTCCTTAATTTTAACACCTGCCCGGTTTATGCACTGGCCTTAAGTGTGTCACCATCACATAGAAGTATCTTGTATTCAGGACCTTCTGATGGATGTATAAATTTTTGGGCGGAAGAGAATTCGTTTCAGTATAATCACAATGGTTTCCTAAAAGGACACCATTTCGGGGTTTTATGCCTAGTGACTCTCGAGGATTTGGTGATCAGTGGATCTGAAGACTCGACGATTAGGATGTGGAGAAGAGAAAAAGGACGAGTTATTCATGAGTGTCTTGCTGTTTTAGAAGGCCATAGAGGGCCTGTGAGATGCTTGGCTGCTTACTTGCCTAAGGATAAGGCTATGATGAGTTTCTTAGTGTATAGTGCTAGCTTAGATCGAACGTTTAAGGTGTGGAGAGTTAAGTTGTTACGAGAAGTGAAGAAATTCACCGATAACTCTAGCACTCGAGAGGATGGTATGGAGAGTGAAGGAGATCCTATAGGGTTTGAGGCAAGCCCTGTGATATCTCCTTCTAGGGTCAAGAAGAAGCTTCGATATCGTAATCCTCAATTCTTCACTAGTTAGTTTTTCAAATCTTGAATTTTTGGCAATGTTAATCGCAAATTCCGAGGTATTGTAAGAAATTCAACACACTATCTACCTTGAATTTATCTACTTTTTCAGTGTAATTTGAAGTAGTAATGTGATAGCTAAATTCAAAAATAGGTATTGATATGTTATAATAAGTTCAAATCTCATCATTAAATATAAATTGTTGATTACATGGATTGTGTCACGCTGTCATCTTCGATTAACATGATACAAATGACAATATAATTATGTAAACAAAAAGTAAATTTTCCAGTTATTATTTCATTACTACTTGTAGACCCGGCCACACCCTGCTACCAGGTAGAGAAAAAAGGACTTCGCAACATGGCTTGCCAATGATCCAGCTGACTACTAATCCATCCCTGCGCTGCTCAGAAATGGTTTCATCAGTCACGTTCTCTGCTACTATATTAGACGACCCACAATGCAACTCAATCGAACATGAATCATGAACATCTCATAATAAATGCATTTAAGTAGATGTTCAAGCTCAGAATACATCACACAAATTAGAGTCCACAAATTTAATTCCTTTGCAGCAATGTATATAATCAATCAAGTGCCCTACAGATAAGGAAACTCGTTTAAAACGACAGACGTACAGTATCCAAAACAACATAAGGAGCTTTAGAATACAAGAAGATAAACTTCTGGTCACTGATGATAGTATATTTGGTGCATAGATCTAATATCAGTTAACTTTTTATAAAAATTAGTAAAGTGAAACAATTGCACAATCTTAAGACAGAAACCAAGTATATACTGATATACAACTTTATAGCTGTTTAAGAAGCAATTAACTAAACAATTACTTGAGGAAGATGTCTTCTTTGGAGGGTTGGAATCCGCAATCTACTTCAATATGAACATCGTGCCTGGTTTCGATCTATAACCTGCAACAGAAAATTATACCAGTGCATATTGGGGAGTGGATCTCCAGAAAAGTAAGTGTGGAAGGGTGCAAGGTAAATGTTCACATTGGGTAGCTGAACCCAGGAAAAGTAAGTGGGGAAGGGTGCAAGGTAAATGTTGCCACAATAGGCTTCTAAATCTCTCATAATGAATTGCTGCAACCTATGTTACTCGGACTCTTCATTTCACCTCACGTATCCGTGTCGGATCCTCGACACTTGGACATGGGTGGGACACTTGGACACTTCATTTTAGTTCAAAATCACTGAAATTTTTCACAAAATAGCAGGGTCGGACATGGGTACCCGAGTCCAAGTAACATAGGCTGCAACACTAATTGTGAACCTCCAGGTCCGCAGACATAATTTTCAGTGTTCTAGATAAGTAAAACCATCCTGGGATTCTTGAAACTCGACTGAAGAGTCACTTCACTTCGTGGAGGTCAAAACCTGCCCCAACTTTCCCTCAAGATCACTGGAAAAAAAGTACTGGTATTAACATACCTAAATCTTTCATTTAAGATACATTTTCCGAAATGATCTGACAATCCATAACTCAGAAGATCTATCTGAGACACTTTCAAATCATAAGATTTGTGATTGACCATTTGGGGATGGAGCCTTAAACATAAGGTCCCTTCAAAATCCTTACATCCTAAAATCTCAAGCTTACATGGTTACACGCTTACACCTGACCACCATTCCTTCCCTGCATTTTTTTAAATCTATCTTCAAAATCAGGAGTTCATATCTTTGTCAAATTAACAGAACCTAAATTGGGGATTACCTTAACATTTACAGTATGGATTCCCATCCCAATTCTCAAAGACTCAAAAAAGAGTCACCTTATTTAACTTATTTTCCTTTTAGCACTCTCCATCTCAGACATTACACCTTAAGCATACACACAGCACTCCAATCACCTTCCTTAATCCTTATTCCATGTAACCCATACATGCTAAAGGGGGAACAAGATCCCATCCACAAGCACAATGACATAGTCAAATGGTGAAGTTCAAAAACAATTACAGCTCCAAAACCGAAGGAAACATCCAGAAAAACAGAACTGTATAAAACTCAAGCTCACTAAGATTGACTTAAATATAAAACTAGAACTAGAAATTAACTAACGACCATCTCGACAAAAGCCGTCAGAAATTGGCAATTGTGAATTATGAATCATCTTCAATTTCTAAAGCAAACCTGAGAAGGCACCGTAGATGATCTGTTTTTTGCAGGGGTCTACTTCCTCTAGCAGCCAAGCACTGGCAACAATTTTAGAAAGAAGAACGGGGAAAGGGAAGAGACTAACTAATTTAAGAAACAATTGAAAACTTCATAAATGGCATAAATTGATACATTATAGCAATACAAGGTTATTAGCCAGTAACAATAAATCAGTTTCAGACTCTTTAAAGAGAGTAAGGCTCTCAATAAATGACTAACCTAGTTGATACTGCAAAGTTTGTAAACAAGCAGCATTTGATAATCTCAAATCCACTTAGGAAATGAAAGAATGAGCTGAGGTTACAAACCAATGATGGAAGATCTTCCTAATCACGGAATGGTGTGAGATCAATCGCAAATTGTTGCTTCCCCTTGCTTACTTTAGCAATAGCGATCAGCTCTTCCAGCAACTCCTCTAAATGCCGAAGAGGCCATTGTGTGGGTCCATCACATGGAGCACTTAATGGATCATCATGGACCTCCATGAAGATTCCATCAACTCCGACTGCAACTGCTGTCCTAGCAATACACGGAATCAGCTCCCGAAACCCTCCACTAGCAACACCTCCACCATCCAACTTCTTACCAGCAGGTTGTTGTAGTGAATGAGTGATATCAGCTACAACGGGGCAATTAGCTTCTCTCATCCATTCCAAGTTCCGGGGATCCACAATCAAGTCATTGTACCCAAACATAGTCCCTCTCTCACAAACCATCACATTTTGATTGCCAGTACCTCGGACTTTTTCAGCAGAGTTCACCATAACAGTAGAAGCACAAAATTGACCCTTTTTAATATTGATGATTTTCCCTGTTTTGCCAGCTGCAACAAGGAGATCCGTTTGACGGCATAAGAAAGCCGGGATCTGGATAATATCAGCAACTTTACCTACAGCTTCACACTGATCACTTTCATGCACATCAGTCACTATAGGAAGGTCATATGCTACTTTCACTTTCTCAAGGATTTTAAGCCCTTCAGCCATACCAGGACCCCTAAATGATTTAGAAGATGTCCTGTTCGCTTTGTCGAAGCTGGACTTGAAGATCAGAGGCACCCCAAGTTTGGTTGTTATGGCCTTAATGTGCTTAGCCATCTTCATTATATGCTCTTCTGATTCTATCACATTAGGTCCCGCCATCAAGAAGAATGGCTGTGCTCCCTTAAGTTTGGTATATAGAGCTGCCGAAGAATCCATATTCTCAGCTATCTCCTTCAATTGATTCCAAACTGCAAATGCAACAGGGTCAAAATTACTCAAATTAGTATGCTTTAAGTGAACCATTGAAATAATGTCAAGTTAACTATACATTGAAACAAGGTTGATAGAAAGCAATAACACTAGGAAAAAACCCTTCATTGCAACCCCTAGTGATCTTGATTTCTAAGATCATATCTAGCCAAGAAAGTCTTTGCCAATAATCGTTCTTGTCCTCTAGGACAATAATAATAATAATGTACCAACATCAGGTTTAAACGTACCAACAACAACATTTAGTGATATAGAATCCCTCTATCTATCCCCCAAACTTAAAGCTTATTACACAGCCAGTATCCTGAAAACCGCCAATTGATAAAGCAAAGATCCAATACAAAATTCGCGCTCTATATTCCAGTAGCCTGTTTCCAATACTAGGCGGCTTGATCGAACCCCTCAAGAATAAGTATAAGGAATAAGGGATGCAAGCCTAGTAAGTAGCTGCAGTCGCAGGTGTTATTTCTTAGAGGCCGGGTGGTGGAACGATCGATTCAATCGAAAGGCTACTACTTCCCAGCCTTCTGTGGACCTTTCTTCTCTTATGATTTTTGCAACTTTCTTGAGTTTAGTGATTGATATCAAAGAGAGTCTCAGTCTAGTAGTCCAGTAGAGTTGTCACTTAACTCCATTTTCGTAACTAATCAAGGGACAAAAACTGATGCAACACTCAATTTCTGAAATTTTCAGATTCCTTAGTCTCCACCGACAATGTTGCACAGTGTAAAGCATTTAACCTCAATCAAAAATTCATACTTACAGTACAGCAATTGGCTTACTAATGCAGTAATACTATTAGAATTACAACCTCAATTGAATCCAGTAATACACAAATTCAATTGAATCCAGTAATACACAAATACAATATGAATCCAGCTATTACTCGAAAAATTACGTAAATATAACGAGATCGCTAGTTATAATCTCTCAAAACTTGAGCATTTATAATCAATAGTTCAATGACTCACCTTAAAAGAACCCTAAATCAGTAAATTGATTAGACAGGAAATTAAATCAACGCCACTAGATTGTGAAATTGATATTCGATGATTTCAGGAAAAACAATTTACCTCGGAAGGTGGTTTAATGGAGGAGAGAAGCTCAGAAGCCGCTTCAATGGAGATCTCAGAATACGGTTCAACGGAGGAGAAATAGAGGAAGAGCGCAAACGTGAAAATGATCTAAAACGGAAAAAGGAAAAAATAGATCTAGGATGATGGTGGAATACTAATACAGCACCCTACAGTTCTAACTCCCGCGCAGAGTATGACTGTATGAGTGATTGTGGGAGTGGGAGAAACGGGGTTAGCTTTTATTTTATTTTTTATTTTTATTTTTATTTTTTAAAATTTTTTTTCTCTCTCTTTTTTTTTTACAAAAAGAAAAAGGATTGCACTTACAATCAATTCCTAGAAAAATTAGAATTCCAATACAAGTATAAATTACCTTAGAACTAGATACATCGCAGAATCGATCAATGATCGCCTTAATAAAAAACTTCATCCGAAGCAATACAATCTGTGAGTTAACACTAATTCGGCTATCAGTATATTATGGTTAACATTAGTGAAGACAAATAAGTAAATAATATTTTAAAGGGTATAATTGTACAAACACAATTCATAATAGTTAATTAATTAAATCACACACGTTAAAGCTTAAATGCTATATTAGGAGCATATAAGTAAATAATCATTTTAGGGATAGTTAATTTGGATACTAATCAAATGACAATTTTAATTTATCAAATGACAATGATATAAATATTATCATATATTCACAAATTATTGCTTATTCACAGATTACAAAAGATTTTAAATACTAAAATAGTAAAAAGACGGCAAAAACTTGAGTTTAACAATAATCTCTTACTAAAATCTCTCCAAAAGCTTAAGAATGAAAATTGTAATCTAAAAAACGTAGCTAATAAAGATTACAAAAAAGTTTAAATACTCAACCCAAAATTAACTCAAAACATGATTCCTAAACGCCTCTAGAAAAACACGCGCCCGATCGGGCGAAGGGTCACCCGATCAGGGCCGCATTTTTCTTCACACCGCCTTTCAGGGGCATCCGCCCGATCAGGCCACAGGCCGCCCAATCGGGCCTGGTCTTTTTCTTAGGCTGAGTCTTATTTTCTTTTCTTCTTTTGGGCTTCAATTACTTGTGGCCCAAATCCTCTTCCTTGGTCCATTACTTGGACCAATTCCACAAACCAAGCCCTTAGTCACCGAAATAATCGGTCTTGGGCTACAAACAACGGTCATGAATGTGATCATAGCTTCGATATCTCGTAGTAGCCGGAAACCATAAAAATCACCAACAAATCGGGGAAATTCCTACAAAATACAATGTCAACCCTACAAAACACTCGAAACCACACATTAGTACTAAAAATAGCCCCGTAGAGCTCAAATATGTATAAAAAATGACCGTGGAACGGGGGATAAAATAGTATATAAAACACATATATTAGTAAATAGGATTTTATATCAGCATGAAATCTTTATATATGAGAATAGGACTTATATAGATGCTATAATGAAATATAGATACACACAATACTAATTCCCATTACATTATAAAATTTGCCAACCCTAAAAATTGAAGAAAGAGAAAATTAAATTACCTTTTAGATTGGGTTTTTGACAACGCATAACAAGACAAACGCTGTTCTTGGCGAAATTTCTAAAAGGATCTAGGATCAAACACTTGATCTACAACATCCATTGATGAAGATAAATACAGGAAACAGAAAATTAAAACTCAATCCCTAAACCCCAAGCAATTCAACTGTTCCAGTATTTTTAGAAAACCCTAAAATTCAACAGCAAATCCCTAATAAAATTAAGGATTTTGATACTGAGGGGAAGAGAAGGATTGAAGAGAAAGAGGAGCAGACAAACCTTGAAAGCGGGAAAACGAAGCTTATTAGGGAAATGACAAATGGGAACTTAAAATAGAACGGGTAGACGATCCTTATATATGAATATGTGTATACGTATTATCGTATTTCCATACAAAGATTCATAAAGACATGAAATTTCAGCATTACCCCTATGCTGGGACATCACCGTGCTGGATTGAGACTGACTCGCATATATATTACCACATGTGCATTTCATTTTTGTATTTTCCTCAACATGATGTAATTTTATTTAAATTTTAAAAAAAACTTTTTACATTTGGAAATGGATAGACCCGGATTCAGAAGATCCATAAAAACAAGGGGTAATTGAAATCGGCGGATTTGCCCGTTAAACCTCTATTTCCGTCGCTCTTAAAAATGTCCCAATTCTCATTAGCTGGAAACACACTATAAACCCTAGCTAAACCCTAAAATCCCCAAAAACTCTTACCCTCCATAAATTTCTGCAATTAACTCTTCAAATCGTTCAATCTTGCTATTTAAATTTGCGTCATCTAGCTTTCGAACCCTAAAATTGCTAGCAATTTGGTGCAATTATTAAGCAAAGAGCGAAAGCATTGTCGGAAGTAGAAGACGAAAAAAGTGAGGAGAGAGAGAAAAAAAATGGAGGTTGATAGGGAAGATGGGCGTACGCCAACTATGTTGAGACCTTTGGCTTGTTCTAGAACTGTCCTTAATCGTGCTCATGGTTCTGCTAGTTGGTCCCAAGGTAATTTCTTTTAAATCTTTCTGGGTAATTTTTTCCTCAAATTTGAGTATTGTTTTATGTTTTGATTCACGTTTTGTTGATATTTTGGGTTAATGATGAGGGGGTTTTGATACTCCCTCGGTCCGGAATTAATTGTCACGTTGATAGTGTAATTTGAACTAGCAGTGTGACGCTGATTGAGAGGGTGTTTGATGATTATTTCTGTCTATGTTGCAATGTAGTTTGTCTTGAATGGATTTTGATAGCGGGCCATTTTTGTTGGGTTTGCTATTTTCTCAAAGAAGACAATTTCTTCATGCATTGTTTGATATCAATTAAAAATTGTTTTTTCTTCTTGTCTTCAATGGTGAGTGCTTCTTACATTCTGTAATGCTTGAACTTGCTGCATAAATGCTTTATTTAAAAGGAAGATCGTAGAATGTGGGCCGAGTCCACTTGTTTTTCTTTGTGATTTAATGTTGTATGTGAAGGATCAATATTCAAGCTCAAATGACCATTAGAATTTGGAAGTGCTAGACGTGTGTTTCACCTTGTAAAGCGACAAAATTGTTGAATCTAGATATTGTTATTGTTTCGGGGTCTGGATAATGCCTTGTTCTAATGTAATTGCATAAGGGTTGAGATTTTTTGAAGATGGGTTCACTTTTTATATTGGATATGATGTTGTTCAGATGTGTAATTTCGTATATTTTTGTTTTATAGGGGATACCAAAGTGTTAGCTGCAGTTTATGGACCAAAGGCTGGGACTAAGAAGAATGAAAATCCAGAGAAGGCTTCAATTGAAGTTATTTGGAAGCCCAAAATAGGACAAATTGGTAAGGTTAGCTTAATATTGTTTAACATCCATGCTCTCGCTTATATGTTAACCCTCGTGAATCTGATTAGCTACTACTGGTGTAGAGTATGCATTCATGAAATTCATGTATTTATATGTCAATGTTCATTTTATTTGTTGTCTCTACTTGTTAATAATTGCTTCCATTTGCCAAATACTGCTGATGAATTTTTAGATAAGTTAAAATTCGAATATGTTGCAACGCCTTTCCTGAATTGTGGTTATTAGGGAAATGATCTGCTTATATATGAATGATTTTTAGTCAATTTTATGTGTATGAGGATATTTTTTTTGCCGAATGTTATAATCTTATCCAATTCTCATTGGTTGTTCCTTGATGGTTTTTGGTGACATCCCTGGACATGCATATTTAATTGATTTGAATTTTGTTCTCCCCTAGACCTAGTATCAGGATTCAATCATCTAATAACATTTTATCAACTAGGTAAATTGGAGAGGGAATATGAGATGATTCTGAAGAGAACATTACAAAGTATCTGTATATTGACTGTCAACCCAAATACAACCACCTCAATAATTGTTCAGGTAAGGCTTTATTTTTTACTTGCTCTTCTGCATTGGCTCTTTGGATGCCATGAATAAATATTTACACAAAATCCTTTGGACTCAAACTGATTATGTTCTTGTTCCACCTAAAATCGGTTACTGTTGCAATTTATGAGTATCTGCTTTGTGTAATATATACTCGGTAGTTATTTGATGCACTGTTTCTGACTTTTCTTGCGACCTTGTTCTCTTTTCCTAATTGTTATATACAAATATGTAAAGATTTTGTTTTGGTAGGAATTTATTTTGAAAATAATTTTGATAATATATTAGACACCTACTTACTTCTGATGTTATGTTCCATTCATAGTCTTGAGTACTTCTATTAAAAAGAACAAAAATGGTCTTTTCTCCATAGTGACATTCTTATTCACTTCTATTGTTATCACACAATACGTAAGAAGATTGTCTTGCACGGCTTCTGTTGTGGACCTTGTGGTTACATTGATGAATTGTTCTACAGGTTCCATCTGATTCTTTAGATCTTGAGGGAGTTGGAATTTAAATAACATAAAAATAGTTTTTATTTATTTCATTATTATTTTTTTTAATGTTAAACTTGGGGGGGGGGGGAGGGGGCTTTTTAAGTTGCTTGAGAAAATACTCTGTTCTATTTTCTTCTACCTATTTAAAATTTACTGGCCTTCAAATTTGTCAAACTATCAGTGAAGATCCTTTACATTATGCATCTGCAGAAGGCATATGATGTTATACACTTGATCTCTGAATATCAGGTAAGTAATGTTGAAATTCAAGGTAACTGATGCCAGTTTCTCTGCAGAACCCAGAAATTTGTAATTTTTTTTTTTTTTAAAAGGAAAAACCTTTTAAACTATGGTGAATTTTGCATACTTTTACTTTGCAACATGTTGCGGAGGGGCATTAGGGGTGGATTTAATCAAGGATGAAATGTGGGGTGTTTAATATACTTTCTGACATAAAAGTTTTTTGGCCAAGTGAAATGTCTTCTTTATTATAATCTCCGAGGATCTTGCAAGAATATGATACCAACAAAACCAACAGTTACATAATTATGATGTACATCTCCCCTTCAAGTTCCTAGCATAAAAGCATTTTATAAGGTTTTGGTACTGATGTTTGTGTGTGTGTGTGTGTGCGGGTGCGAGGGGTGGGAAAGCAGTAAGTGGCTTTAGTGCCTTTTATGCTCTTCACCTTTTTGGCTATGAAAAGGGGTTGAAAACCA